CTGAGCTTGCCTAAGCAGGCTCTTAGTCTGCTGAGCTATCTTGCTAGCCCAAAGACTATCATTATATTATAAAACCCATAAATTTTGAGTTTATATGCAGTGTTTCTCCTTGTTAAGAGCAGATTTACCCTGGGTTCCACTTCCCAGTTGCCAGATCCCAGGTACTTCCCATTATATAGCCTGATAGGGTGGGCATCTGGATTCCTCTGGCCAAGCTACTCTCCAGAGTTCTACCTCCTAAATGTAACTTCTTTTTTTTTTTTTTTTTGGTGGAACCAGGGATTGAACTCAGGCCCTTGTACTTGCCAGGGAAGTGCTTATTCCACTGAGCCATCTCCCCGGCCCCTAGTTCTTTATATTCATGTTTTTAAAGCTCTTCTTTCTAGATTTTCAAGCATTTATTTATTTATTTTAGAAATTAGTAATCAGTAAGGTATCGACATTTTCTAATTTTAAAGTTTCCCTTGGACATGTAACCATCAGTAGCTGATATCAGCTAGATAAAAAGTTTTCAAAAGCATTTGCCTGGCAAGTGCAAAGGCCTGAGTTCAGTCCCCAGTTCTGGAAAAAAATTCAAAATTAAATTCTGTCTAATTTTCTGCCATATATCTACTTATGAATTAATAGACTTTCCATTTGTCCTTCATTACCAGAACAATTGTAAGAGATGTTTGGTCATGTATTGTAGTCATAAAGTTGAATCCTCTTTAAGAGATTGGTTAATTAAAAGACAAAAGCCCATTTCTAATGTTTGGTTGAAATTTGAATATTTTCAGAAGCTGGGAGACAATCCTCTTAGTTCATAAGAATATGAAAATTTAGTGTCAAATTTCTTGTGTATAATTGCTTTTAAACCTTCTCTGAAAGATTAAATTACAAAATAATTATGTGATTGGAAATGAAGTTTGTTTCAGTAGTGGAACAGCCAGTTGAATGTCATGACAGACCAGAGAAAAGAGGAGTATGGTTAATTCTTAAGGTATTAATTCAAAAAATTCATAGCTTGCACAGCATAGAAATGGCTTTGCCAGTGCATATGTCATGGTAGTTGAAAAACAAACCCAAGCAGCATTAGAACTGGGCATATCAAAGACCTGCCCTGGCCACTTTCTGCCATGCTTTCCATGGATGAAATCAGGAATAGCATGTCTAAGGCCTTGTGATTTTGGAGAGTGAGAAAAACTATCAGGGAGTAATCTTGTGACTTGGCTCTCAGACCAAGAATCCAAATCAATCTCTGCATGCAAGCCCAGAAGCAGGACAGTGATGACCCTCTTATCATCCAGGGCAGGCGTGCAGCCTTCAGAATGGTGACTTGATGACAGGTGAATAAAGTGTGGGGCTGCATACCATCTTGGGGTGGATGGTTGGTGCTGGAGAAATGTGTGACAGGGGCAAGACTGACAGTGGGTTCCATGTCAACACAGATCAGCCTCCTTGGGAGCCTCCAGAGAACATCTCCAGAGAACCACCATCTCACTCCTTCGTTATTTTTGTAAAGAAGTAAAACTCTATTGTTAAGAGCTGAAGCCTTTTCTATACCTATCTCTGATATTGTTTTCTCCTCAGGTAACCACAGACATAAAGTTAGCATTTATCTCCTGCATGTATTTCTATACTTTTCTCGAATATTTGAACCTATGAATATTTAGTATTGTTTCTAAATATTTACTAATATTAGTAAATATTAGTTAGACAGGGCAGATTTTTAAATTCATTGGCTTGGGAATCTGCTCTGGGATTAGGTAGAACACATGTCAAGGCATTTCTGGATGTTTTGTGGGCCATGGCCTTGAAGCCTGCATCTGGTTGCTTTCCCCTTTGAAGCTCTTCTCCTGTTCTTGCTTCCTGGCCACCATGAGCCAAATAATTTGCTCCACCACATCCTTTAGTATATTTTTGGCTTGTGAGCCAGCCATCCATGGAGTAAATCTCCTAAAAATGTAAGGTGAATTAAGCATCTCCTTATTTAAATTGTGGGTATCAAGTATTGTGTCCCAGTGATGAAAAGCTGATGAATACAGCAGCATTAAGCAATTAGCACTAGACTGCAGCTCATTTGTGGTATTCATTCGTATTGATATGTGTTGCTCTAGTTTATTTAAATTGTAAAGTATGCCAGCAAATCAAGACATCATATTGTACTTATTTATTTTTCTGTGGACTCCTGTTCAAGTGATTTTCTCATTTTTATTTTCATAATCAATGTTGCAGTAGCTTTTATCTCTCTTCTGTAATGTATACAAGTGTGTCCAGGGACTGGTGGGGTTGTTCAGCAGACTAAAGCACCTACTTAGGTAAGTTTAGATAAGTGCAGGGACCGAGGGTCAACCTCTGGCACCACATGCTGCACTAGCCCTGCCCCAAGGGCAGGCTGAGCCAGCCAGAGTCTGGACATGGTGGCATATGCCTATAATCCCAGTGCTGGGGAGGCTGAAAACAGGAGGATCACCATGAGTTGGATCTGCATAGTGAGACCCTGCAACAATCAAATACATTAAAAATAATAATGATAATAATAATAATCAAGTATGTCCAAAAAATGTCAAGAAATGAACAGTGGGGTCTCAGAGCCCTAATAGCTAATGCATATTTTGCATAATGGCAGTACAATCTT